AGTGTTTGTAGGGATGTGGTTCAGCACGGTAAAGACACACGACTGAGTCTAGTAAATGGAAAGGAGGTGCAGTTTGGGCAAAGTGTTCAAGCAGTAGGTAGAATGACAATAAATGTGGTGGAAAAAGTGACAAGATGGTGATAAAGTGGCTGAAGTGATAAAGAGCTCAGCATAGACAGGAAAACATGACAAAAAAACTAACATCATGTGAAATCATCTCATTGTTATTGTTATTAATATTTTTACTTCAGCTGGGATAATTGATGGCTGAAGGAAATGTTACTGCAGTCACAGAAGGTGGAAATAAGTTCCACTGAATTACAACAAGTAGATATAGGAAAATAAGATATGTGTTCCTATATAAGCTATGGGACAGATTTATGAAGCAGGACAGATTATTGTGACGCAGCAGTTGCAGTGAGATTTAAAAACATTGTACTGTAATTTATTTAGAAGCGTGAAGCCAGTTCACTTGAGTAAAGAACAGCTCAAAAACCAACCGATCTGATGAGGGAAAGAGTGATGGCCTACTAGCTAAATCAAGATGTGACCCTGTGAACGACTTCCCTAAACCTGCAGTCCAGCAGTTCATCTAAACAAAAGGCACCTAGACTAAAACAGATGTACTTGTGTTTGCTATACCATAAAACAATAAAAGAAGGTACAAGCTCTTCTTGTGACTCCAGGATCCGAGTGTGAATGCCAGAACACTCTGGAAGACACACAGTCTTTTCAGACTACTAAGGATCACACATCCTATCAATACACAATCGATTATACACCTCTAAGCATATATGGTTATATTTTTCTAAGCATAAATGACAATCAACAATATAAACCTGACAGATGTGAATGGCCTGTATTTGTGAGAAACACAAACTAAAGTATTGATCCCTTCACGTTAGTGTGGGTCTTATACCAATATGTCTGTATCATTTGTATCGATCCGCCCAGCCCCAGTTGAAGCAGCAATGAGTTCAGCTCAGTATCTGAGAGAGTT